CCCCATATAAGACACTATGATTACCTCAAGTCAAATGACTAATTCAACTATTGAATGTTAGAGATTAACCATTGACACTTAGATAGTTATCTATGTGGAATCTCTCCAGCGGTGGGCAATGTTTTGTTCTATATCAAAACATTCACGTGTTCATTTAATTGTCATCACTTGTGAGATCAACTACTTACTTCACACGTAAAAAATGACACACGTGATGGTTTATCCGTAATAACGATATACATATCTCATTATTATTTACGATCATGATGATTTAAGATTCAATCATATGTAATTTGTATCTCACGGTCACAATTTTTTGTGATTAATACATTACTAAGACTTGGATTTACGGATTTTATTATTCAATTTAATGGAATATTAATTCAATTAAATAACAGATCTGCCATAAATAGAATGCATAAATTATGTATTAAAAATGTTTTTGTTCATAGTCTCTCTCTCTTCCGGAATATGATATTAAGATGAAAACATAGATCAATTTATAAGAGTTTGAGCTATTCTTAAAAATGTTGATATTTTATGATGGAACCCCAAATCTAATATGGTATCAGAGCCCATTAAACTCCAACGAGTAATTCGGTCCGATTAAGATTCAAAAAAATTTGAGTACACAGATTTCAAAATTGGGATGCTCAAACGAGCCACTATCTTACGGGGCATGTTAAAGGATACAATCCCATATCAAATAAAGATGAAAATATAGACTAATTTATAAGAGTTTGTGCTACTCTTCTTAATAAGGTTGGATAAAGATGAAAACATATACCAATTTATAAGAGTTTGAGATACTCCTTTTAATAAGGTTGACTTTTTAAGATGAACCCAAAATCTTAAAATGGTATCAGAGCCCATTAAACTCCAACGAGCAATTCGATCTGATTAAAACTAAAAAAATTGAGCACACGAATTTTAAGATTGATATGCTCAAACGAGCCACCATCTTGCGGTGACATGTTAAGGGATAAAATCCTACATCGAATAAAGATGAAAACATAAACCAATTTATAAGAGTTTGAGTTATTTTTCTTAATAAGGTTGACCTTTTAAGATGGAACCTCAAATCTTAACAATATATTCCAAGAAGAAGTTTAAGATTTGAAAAATCGGGTTGATATTTCCAGATTCTGTTGCTCGAATGGAGTAAATATATGATTTTCTAGAAATATCAAATTTTCAACTTCAGCACACGAGTAATAATGAATATCCATAAAGTAGTGCTATCATTTGTCACTAAAATGAATTATGTAATCTTATATTGCAGTTGGGCATGGCCAGTGGATTGGAAACTCTATGTGGACAAGCCTATGGAGCAAAACAGTATCACATGCTTGGGATATATCTTCAAAGAGCATGGCTTGTTTTGTTTGTAACCTCAACTCTACTTACGCCAATATTTTATTTTGCGAGCCCCATTTTAAAAGGTTTAGGCCAAGATGAAAGCATTGCAGAAGTGGCCGGAACTATTGGTCTCTGGTTCATTCCTGCGATATACGCCTTTGTTTTATCATATAGCTGCCAAATATACCTACAGGCACAGAGTAAGAACGTGGTTATTACATACTTGGCAGCATTTTCGTTATCCATCCACATCTTTCTCTCTTGGCTTTTAACAGTCAAGTACAAGTTTGGGATTACTGGAGCTATGGTATCTACTCTTTTGGCATACTGGATCCCTAATGCGGGTCAGCTATTATTTGTTCTCTCTGGAGGGTGTCCGGAAACATGGAAAGGTTTTTCGTCTTTAGCTTTCAAGGATCTTTGGCCGATAATCAAGCTTTCTTTTTCGTCTGGTGCAATGATCTGGTTAGGCTTATAACTTATTTCATTTACTTGAAGGTTAATTTATGACCTAAATCATAATGACTTGCTCAAGTCTTATTTAAATGGTCTTCAGGCATGCTACCTAGCTCCACAAAGGCATGGTTTTGTTTATATATAAAGCGATAATACATTGTTACGACAATGTATATATCTTTCATATTGTTCACGAAATTCAGCATATATCGTGTTTTTAAATACCTTTTTGTATTATTCCCTAAAAGAAATAAAGGATTTTGGAGGAGAAATTATTAGGATTTCCAACATGAAATTTTTTTATCATAAATTTCGGATTCTTTGACAGTCTTGAACTCTGGTACAACTCAATACTGATTCTTTTGACTGGAAATTTGAAAAATGCCAAGGTTGCAATTGATGCTCTTTCTATATGGTAACACTTTTTTCCTCGTTCTTTAATTTCCTTCTCGTCCTAGCATCATATAAGAATGAAAGTGCACTCTTTTTTTTTTTTTAGTATTAACATCAATGGTTGGGAAATGATGATCGCTCTTGGTTTCTTGGGTGCAGCAAGGTACTATAATTGTCCTTATTTTCCTCAAAAGCACAAAATTATTTGAGCTTGTTTATATTTCATATTGACGTATCTTCAATTACTATATTGTAGCGTCCGTGTTTCAAATGAGCTTGGAAGTGGGAACGCTAAAGCCGCAAAGTTTTCAATCATTGTGACAGTGTTAACATCGTTAGCCATTGGACTAGTTCTATTTGTATTTTTCCTGTTTTTCCGTGGACGCCTAGCTTATATCTTCACAAAAAGTCAAGATGTGGCCAAGGCTGTCGCTCATTTGTCACCTCTCTTGGCATTTTCCATACTCTTGAACAGTGTCCAACCAGTTCTTTCCGGTAACATTATATTTGATGGTTCATTATATCGTTTGAATTTATTCATTAGGAAGAGAAACTTGAGTTCAATATGCTTATAATAACTTGCTACAAATATTTTTCCCTCATACGATAGGTGTTGCCATCGGGGCTGGACGGCAGAGCAGAGTAGCATACGTTAACATAGGATCCTATTACATAGTAGGAATCCCTATTGGAGTTGTGCTTGGTTATATTATCAGACTACATGTTGAAGTGAGTTTTCAGGCACCAACTGGCTTGAATTTTTTTTTTTTTCATGTTATGATCCATTAAGTTTTTCTTATTTTTTATGATTGTGTTTGAGATAGGGTGTTTGGATTGGAATGTTAATTGGCACGCTCCTCCAAACTATCATACTCTTAATATTAACTTCCAGAACTAATTGGGATGACCAGGTAACTTGGATTTGTTAACCTTTCCATTTTTGGCAGTTGTTACTAAAATTTTTGATACCTTTAGTATGGAGATCGAACGGCTAACTATGGATGTGATATTGCAAATACGATTCAAGTTTCTTTTTGTTGCAGGTATCCATTGCTCGTAGACGAGTTGATAGATGGTTTGTGGAAGTTGAAACTGATGCAAATTCGCCGTCAACTGTCCGATGAAAAAATTTCCCCTTGCAGTTGTTTCCTATATGGGATGTGTTTCATAAAAAAGACACAGAAAGAAGCGTAAACGTGGGAGATAATGCAGATTGTACCACAACGCACAAATGCAGTCTAATGGGGCACACACTTGTTCATGCGTCTCCACGAAAACAAGCACAAACAAGTTCATGTTTGATGAAAATTTATGATCCATAAATTTGTATGATCCACTTGGATACACATAAGTAGATTTGGACTTATTTAAATGAAATTATAAGAGTATCTTCAATGCCTTATCTGAATTGCTATCTAGGTGACATGTAAATGGACGACTTCTAATTTAAGTAGCATTGGCATCTAATTAATAGATGGTTAACTTCAAATTTTATCTCCAAATTCTAATGAGTTCTGTCTATACCTCAAGTTTCATTTTAAATGTAAATGAAGGAGAAAGAAAAATAATAAACATGAGAGAAAGCATAAATTTTGCTCGACTCCTCCCACTAATAGAACCTCTACATCTAGAGTTCTTCTTTAAAATGTCTAACATTGTCTATTTTACTTATTTAGCAATTTTTTGCTATATCTCACAAGCCAAATGGAGCATGTATGAACTAGTTAGATCCTTCTTCTATTCTTTTCTTTGGTGCAGTTGGTCCATCTTGAACTTGAATTGAGATCTTGACCATGAAGTAAATCATTCTACATACGGTCCAACCAATTGGGAGTGAATAACTTTGATAAGAAGAAAAAAGAAGGCGTTAAAAGACATCTTGTCCAACCCTAGACACTCTAAGACCCTTTTCCAAACCTTCTCCCATTCGAGTCAAAAGATAAGGGGTTGTTCTCTTCGTATTTCAGTTTTGAATTCATTTTGTGTTTTTTATTTTGAGTGTCTGTTTTGAAATTATTGAAAATGCGTTATTTTTGTCATTCTGAAAAACTGTTTCTGTAAACATAGAAATGGAAAATACGTTTACTTTGACATTTTGAGAATATTTTTTTTATAATATTTTATTCAAGAAATCTGATTATTCAATCAATTTAAATAGTTTAATGTTAATAAAATATTAAATAACATATAAATTTTGAAGTTGGTGAATCTTGAAATATTTTTTTCCAAAATATAAAAAACATAACCTAAATTAAATTTGACAAATCCTTATTTTTGTCCTTGTACGTAACTTGTGACAATTTTANATTATAATAGCTTAATGTTAATATAATATTAAATAACATATACATTTTGAAGTCGGTGAATCTTAAAATTTTTTTTCAGATTTAAAAAACACATCCCAAATTAAATTTGGCAAAACAGTTCAATCGATACAATTAAAAGGGCTTCCTATTTGATGCCTTGAGCAGCATAAGCATCTATTCAATTTGATGGACTTGTTCAAGTTCTTCAGTATCAACGAAAAGATAAATAAATACACGCTTACTGCTCAAAAAAATCGAAAACTCGTGATTCTAATTGAGCCACATATCACATTTATAATATTGGCAATTAATTAGTTCAAGTATCGCTCAAAATTGCAGGTAAATATAAGGTAAATATACTAAAAAATAAAGTTACATAACACCAAAACAAACTGAATCCGCCAAGGAAAATAACAAAATCATAGCCTCAAATGGAGGTGACCTCATATTTTGTTGAAGGCAGCAATGTCGTAGCTTTGCACATATTCATTGATAGGCTTGGTTGTGACGCTCCTCAATGAGATCATCAACAGAGACGAGATCGTCAACTATGGTCATCATGATCTGCTGTTTCTTAATTCCATATCCAACCTCAACCAATTTTGCTGAGTAAGATCACAAATTCAAAAATAATCAGCCGCAGGCTATGTAATAATGTGCAAGATAAATAGAGCCACGAAAATAGATGTTCAAATGGACGAAAGAGTAAACCATACATGCTCCCCACAATAGGCCAAGCAACTCAGCACTACGAACATCCTTTTCCAGCTTCTTCATGTCTATCTCATCATCCCAAGGCTTTACATCCAAAAGAACAGATGATTCCCACCTAGAGACAAATTCCAAATTGCAAAACTCAAAAAATAGATAAAAGTAAATGGATTTAAAGATGGTTTAAAGATGGTTAGCCGAGATTCAGTTAAGTATATATCTTATTTAGTAAAACTACAAACAAATAAGCAAATGCTATTCAATAAGTTTGGGGTGGGGGGAATGGTTTTAATCATCTCTGGAATGGTTTTAATCATCTTGTCATGAAATAATATAGTGGCATAATGAACAGCCAAGACTAGATTCTCATAAACCTGTCTTAGAATTTGCACAAACCTGTCCCAAATGGTTCTCCAATAATATATGTTCAATAGACACAAACTTAACCAATTTGATTCTATGTCAAACATGCACATTTTTGGACATTTATTAGTCACAAACTTTTAATTTATTAACTCCCCAAACATGCACATTTTTGGACATTTATTATAAATTACCCACACATTTGATCTTGTTTTCATTTTATCCGTTCATGATAGTTTAAATATTATAAACTCCAAAGTATCATTCTTGGATGTAATGGTATCGTTCCAAATTCTTATTGAGAAAGTAATATTAAACCATTAAATTTAGGAAGCAAGTGATGTAGAGACTAAGCCAACATATAAATGTGAATCACAAAATGATAATATCCATTCTTCCCCAACCAGTGAATGATAGGATTGTTCCTTCATCAACCGACAACCTCACAATCCTAACATTAATAGGTTTCAAAAAAATGGGGATGAAGAAGGACACAGTATATCGTTAAATGTTAATAAATGAGAGAACTACGTCTTCATGAATATGCATCATGTCCATGAAAATGATGAAGCAACTCTAACAAACTTCACTTAAAAAATCTAATCACAAAACTAAACAAAAATACGTATACCTAACCTCTTTCAATGCATTGATAAAGCTCCATTTAACACTGTCTTCATCTTCACAAGGAGTCAAAATATTACCTGGATATCCTCTGAAATGTACCTGCAGAGAAAATTTAACATAGTATAACTATTCTATCAACCAAAAAGGTTTCAGTTGCTTAAGATGTCATCACAGGCTGTAGATCTACTTCAATGATAGCAACAACAAAACCTAAATGTATTTTAACAATAAATCTACCACTCACATGTATACTAATCTAGTTGCTTATAAATCCACAGGGAGATATGAATTTCATATCAATTAGATACAGCATTTTCTTTTCTTATTCTTAAAACAACATCCATTTGCTGTTATACGCAATTAAATAGCTTTTTGTAATTTCTCCATTCCAAAGGAAGAAATACTCTTAAAGATATCAATTCAATTCTCTAAATATACACCGATGATGTGTTGGGCAAGTTTTATTACAACAATTCTTAAAGCAACTAGATATTAAACAACTCGCTCCTTAGTCCAACTATACATTCTCATTCTAACAGTTTCGTGTAAATAAAAATTTAATTTTATACCGTTAGATTCCAAGCCTCTCTGCTTCTACACAAAGAAGATCAAAAAACACCCCAGTAGGTATGTACCTGGAATAAATATGAATGGTATCCATACAAATATTAGAAGAAATGCTACACTTTTTGCACTAAGAAAGTATACAATGAATATATATATATATATACAGCATTCTATGTCATTCAATTTGATTCTACTGAAAGTTTAGATTAAGGGCCTGTTTGGTAAAACTTCTCCTTTTCTACAGTAAATCAATTCTCATTTTCAACCACACATTCTTCAATAAAATAATATTTTCCATCACATCAATACTTTTTTCTTCTTTTTCAACCACACATTTCCCATCATATCACTATTCAAAA